TAATATTAAGACATAAGCAAATCAAACTGTCAATTTCTACAGACGATGCCATAATTAATTGTTTCATGGGGTCAGCTACCTCACCACTTCTCCGTTTTTACTGCGGAGGCAGTAGCTATTATTCAGGAAATTAAACTTGCTCTCGAACTGCAGTGATAGTCTGCCACCCTGTTAGGAGTCCAAAACTTTTGCAATAACAACAACCTGTTATCAGAAATTCGTCACCTCTGCTTCAAAAACAACAGTAAAATTAAGCTATTATGGGTCCCGGCTCATATAGGAATAGCTGACAAAGTTGCAAAACTAGCTGGACCGTGCCATACAATCATCCCTGGAGTACAACAGGACATCTGGAAAAACATCAAGAACATATTGCTGGACATCGAACGGGAAGACTGGTTGTCATTTAACCACTGGTATAAGCAGTTTAATCCTGGCAAAAAGGACATTAAGTTTCCTACTTCGATCAACAGAAGGGAATGCGCCATTCTCACTAAGTTAAAAACTGGACACACTCATTGACACATCCTTAATGGTGAAAGGCGGCTGAACTGCCCTATCTGCGGAGCTGAACTATCAGTCAAACATCTACTAGATATTTGTGGTCACTACCAAGATACTTGTGGTCACTAAAAAAAAATATTTTAAAATTAATCATGAAAACCAATGTGAACATCTTTGAAGTTTTTTTGTATTATTAAATCGCAAGCTTATACTAAAAGTCCATATAATTTCGTCCCGAGTAGAACATTAGGAGGTAAGTCATGAACCTGATTTAATAAACTGTAAACACCCAAACAGGGTCTTATTATTTATAACAGGGCATAGGAATGGAGGACATAGCAAGGGATAATCAACACCTAAATCGCCAATCGGATGGAATGGAAAGCATCCTAGCTATAGCCTTTCTTAAATATTTTAGTTTACGTTTAGGTCACCTACTTCCACCATTATTTTCTTTTCTTTTTTCTTTTTATATCACTTTAAATGTGTACCTAATATATTATGCTAATGAGAACGAATGGCCTACAGGAGAGTACAAAGACCCCACGACAATCCGGCGAGTTTGTTTGAGCACAACGAGAGGTACACTCGTCGCAATCCTGCCATATCGTCTGCGTCGAATTGAAACAGCACTTAACATCATCTTTAAATCGTAACGCAGTATAAACACCACCCACATTACATAATTTCCATAATATAGTTAGGAATCAGACCCAATTAAGCTCTTAATAATTCCTTCCAAAAATATTAGTTAATTATAAAAATATATATGATTAACAACTTAAACTATAAGTTTAGTTTTTTAAAAAAATGTATTTTTTTTTACAACTTTAACTAACTTTTAAGTCTTAAACTGAACTTATTCTTAAATCTAGAAGATTTAAATCTTTCGATCTTCTGAGTGAGTTATTTTTAATTGAGTGATCTTTCTATTTCGATTGAGTAGGCTTTGATTTTAATTGAGTGAAAGAGAGTTCTTTGTCTTATCTTGTTTACAGGTTTAAAGGAGACGCAATTTGAATATTGCAAAAGTGTGGGAGCAATAAATGTTTAGTCTGGGACTTAAAATGAACAATGGAAATTTCCCAGAGCCTTCTTAGTTTAGAAAATGTTTACAATAACTGGGTTTCAAGTTTGGCTTCCCGTTGATAGGGGTGACTCAAGAGTGTAGGCATATGCATATCGTATGGCGATGTATGTGTAGATGTGGACTATACTGTTACTGTTTACTGTTTTTTATCCCCTGAAATTATAGATTAAATTAAGGTCGGTAAGTTCAAGTCTTTAAATCACATAACTGTTAATAGCCTCAAGAATCGTAACCGGGGCAAACACCGTAAAGTTTCCTGGGTTCAGTTTTCGCGTCGTCAGTAATAACAACCGTTCGAAAATTCTGGTTGAAGTGGTCAGTTTAAACAACAATAATAAAAAACAAGTTTCGCATAGTAATGAATGTTTTATAACAGGTTACCCGAAAAATTTCAAAGCTTTACTTACTTAACATGGAATTTTGCGTATCAGCTGCTTAGAACTCTACCATTTATTTTCTCCAAAGCTTTCTAACTTGTAACTTTACCAGCGACGAAAATTTACCATTAACCCAGCTTAAGTCAAAGTGAAAAGATCGAAATGTTCGGTGTCAACTAGGTCTTCACCAAGATACGTTTAAGTGTATTGTTCTGATAACAAAGAATCGGAAATAGTGACATTAATTTCTGAGCTGTGCCTAGTGTTTAATTTAACCATCGCAGCTATATACTGGATTACCTTTCCGGAAGCGGTAAATTCGGGCCCTTATGGGCTACGAAACGCCCAGAGGGTTTTTCTACCCCTGGAGAAGGGACTCCGTAACCAAATTCCAATTGCACGTGCACCTGATTACATAAGGCAAACTCCATTGGTCAGAGAAAGGGTAGAGATCATAAAGTTTCTTTTCCAGTACCTATCCGAGACTATTCGCATCAAATTGGAGAACCACCCGACTTGTGTGCCAATATATAAATCAAAACCACGACAATACGTAGTGGGAGTAATTCCCACAACTACTACTCGAGTCTGATCACTTCACAACTGCGACTCGTGTTCGCTTTTTAACAGCGACTGGTGCTAGCTCTAACCTCGATCGGATTAAACTGAAAGTCGCTTCAAGACTGTAACCCATATTCGAGAAACCAATTCTTCTACGATACATAAAATTAGTTTCCGCAGTATAGCCGGATAGTTCATCGTCATAATCTAAATATTATATTTTAAAATTAATCATGAAAACCAAAGTGAACATCTTTGAAGTCTTTTTAATTTTTATTAAATCCCAAGCTTATACTAAAAGACCGTATAATTTCATTTATCATCGTCCCGAGTAGAACATTAGGAGGTAAGTCATAAACATGATTTAATAATAGGACATAGGAAGGGAGGACATAGCAAGGGATAATCAACAGCTAAATCCCCAATCGGATGGAATGGAAAGCAACCTGGCTATAGGTCGATAGCCTTTCTTTATTTTAGTTTACGTTCAAGTCAGATAATTGGAACTAGCTAATGGGAACGAATGGCCTACAGGAGAATTAGTTTGAGAATAACATAAGGTACACCAGTCGAAATCCTGTCATATCGTCTGCGACGAATTGAAACAGCAGCCTAGTGCTATTAACAGCGTCTTCTTTAAATCGTAACGCAGTATATACACCAGTCACATTACAAGAGGTACCGTCAAATGTCAACCTTAAACAAACATTGACATGTTTTTCTTGCTATTTTTTATATTTCTGCCTTTAACAACAACAACAGTAATAAAAAAACCAAAAAAACCCGTTTACCGCCGTGGGATTTGAACTCATGCTTTCAGATTTCTGGCCAAGCGCCTAACGCCCTAGGCTATTTGGTTGGAGGCGCGCCCGATATCAAGTATCAAGCTTCGAAAATCAAAACAACCGATTGTTGTTGTCGAAGTGATCCTGATTTCAGCCAATTAATCCTATTTGGTGTTAAATTATATTTTTAAAACCACTTAGTGACCCTGTGACACTCATGTAGGGTCAAGTTGATCCCAAAAAACTGATACTACGTGTAGTGTGAAAATGAACTACACTTATTAAATCGACACCCAGAAAATTTTTTTTTCGGTGTAGTACTTATTTACTTATGAACGCTTAGTAACTTTGTATAAAAATGTATATTATTTAACTCAATTCAACTTAAATTCAACTTAAATTCTATATTTTTTTTGTTTTTCTTTTCTTTGTGTGATTTGTATAGTGAAAAAAAATCGTCTGAAATAAATGCATAAACTATTAAAATATTTACCCCATCTTGTGCATTGTAAGATTATGTCAGGTACTGTTTGTTTCTACAATCTTTTTATATTGATTCCATATAATTTAATTTAACTTTTAATGTGGGCTTCAATGAGGATTAACATCACGCAATTTACTTGCCAAGATGTACATCCAACTTTGGCCTGCATAAGCCCCATCGTGTTCTTTGTAATAATTATAACAATGTTAGTAATCAAATATATTCAATTCTAAAAGGGCCGCGCGTAGCTAGCTCAAGCTTGGTTTCACTTATGCATCAGAATTCCACGATAATCGCAAATTAAACATAACTGATTTTTATACTTGTCTTACGTTACTCATATTTTATAATTTTTGTAAATTGGTAATTTTGGTCAGGAACAATGACGTTACTTTCGATTGACGATTGTGACATTTGGAGATTGTACTGCGAAGACTTGTCGGCACCAAGTGTGCCGCCCATCAAGCAAAAGTGTTGACCTAGAGTCATTCAGAAATAACAGATTGTCAAATTTCCGTTCAAAATGTTTTAAATCGGATTAAAATTTAGAAATACATAAATTACAATTTACATAATTTAATGTCATAATGAAACGAAATTTTAAAAAAAGACATTTATTTAAAAAGGTTTTTCATGCACTAGCGAAAGGAATATCCCCAAAGCTAAAAGCCCATATTGACTTCGAGGCACTACAATACATATATTGTTTTAAAAGAAAAGCAGTAAGCTTCAGCAAGCTTATATGCTTTTGCAGCTAATACAAATTTAAAATATTCTATAAATCGACTATATTTCGATTTTTGTGCGTACTTTTCAAAAACAATATAGCCTATTTTCCCGATGATTTTTTCTCCCGTTCCTATGTCAAATGTATGATATTTTAATTCTTAAATCTTAAACCATTACATTTTAAAAGCAACAAACATTTTGACTGATATATTAACTGCAATAGAAAAATGTCTTTTGGAAAAGTTTTATCCAGAAAGAGTCGGATAGACAGACGTGCAGACCTTACATTGTTAGGTGATGCTGATAAAAAGTACATATTTTTACTTTATAATGTCGAAATTGTCTTTTAACTGCATTCCAAACTTTTGACTGAAACTATAATTCCTGTAAGTAGCCTCAGCCATGTTAGAGCATAAATAAAATCTGAACTATGTCCAAAAAGGATGCTTAAAAATATCGCTTTTCTTTAGTTTCAGATGAACCATTTTGTGATGCTGAAGTCAACCGAATTAAGAACTATGATGATACGATATGGAATTTTTAATAAATTTAATAAATTGTGTGTTTTTCTGCGTCGCAACATTCAAGTTGGTAAATAAAATTCATTCTTTATATTATTTATTACACGCGTTTGTTTATTATTGCAAGTTGATTGCTTCCTTTTGCTTTGTCATAGTCATTTTAAACAAAATTTTAGTGATTGAATTACTTTTTTTTCTGAAAAACTTAAATTTTTGTTTAGTCATCGGCGAGAATCGAATCCGTGCCAACGGAGCGGGAGTTTGGGCGAGGTACCTTCAAATGTCAAACTTGAATAAACATAGACATGTTTTCTTTGCCTTTTTTTATATTTCTGCCTTGATTCTAAGAAATCGTTCATTCTTATACAAAATAAAATATAAAAAAAACACGTTTAACGCCGTGGGATTTGTACTCAAACTTCTAGATTTCTGATCAAGCGCCTAAGCCTAAAGATATCATTTCGAGCTTTGAAAATCGAAACCACAAATTGTTGGAGCCGAAGTGACCCTGATTTCAGCCAATTGATCCTAATTAGTGTCAAATTATATTTTTAAAACCACGAGTGACCCTTAAACACTCATATAGGGTCAAAAACTGATACTATGTCTATGCGAACCTCACTATCGGGACCGGCAAGGTCAGAACTAGGTTTTGACTCTTCGCCCAACCACCTTTATCGCAGACTCCACGCAAGGACTCCTTGAGCTCGATTAAACCACGACCTGGTACCCGTTGGATCTCAGCGATTTAGCTTCAGCCTTTAGCATGTCGACTTTGCGATCTTGACTCTGGCTCTTGATTTACTTGCTTTTGGTTTGACGTACACTCGCTCTGATTCTCGAACTACTACTTCGGCGTGAGCTGCGTTAGCGCCGACCTTTTATAGCCTGTGATGGTACCGTTACCCTCTAATCCGGCTCACGTGATCGGGTTCAAGGCTACCGCCGTACCGTTAGTTCACAATACGTTTTCTTTGTGCGGGTCTGAAGTCCGCCCATTTACCGTTTGATGTTGTTGCCCTGACCGTGCAAAGGTCGATATAGGTCGATAGCCTTTCTTTATTTTAGTTTACGTTCAAGTCACATAATTCCACCATTATTTTGTTTTCTTTTCTTTTTATATCACTTTAAATGTGTACCTAAAATAGTATGCTAATGGGAACGAATGTCCTACAGGAGAATTAGTTTGAGAATAACATAAGGTACACCAGTCGAAATCCTGTCATATCGTCTGCGACGAATTGAAACAGCAGCCTAGTGCTATTAACAGCGTCTTCGTTAAATCGTAACGCAGTATATACACCAGTCACATTACAAGAGGTACCGTCAAATGTCAACCTTAAACAAACATTGACATGTTTTTCTTGCTATTTTTTATATTTCTGCCTTTATTCGTTTATATACAACAACAACAGTAATAAAAAAAACCAAAAAAAAACCCGTTTACCGCCGTGGGATTTGAACTCATGCTTCCAGATTTCTGGCCAAGCACCTAACGCCCTAGGCTGTTTGGTTGGAGGCGCGCCCGATATCAAGTATCAAGCTTCGAAAATCAACCGATTGTTGTTGTCGAAGTGATCCTGGATTCAGCCAATTAATCCTATTTGGTGTTAAATTAACACTAATTTAGGGTCAAGTTGATCCCAAAAAACTGATACTACGTGTAGTGTGAAAACTAACTACCACTACTTATGAACGCTTAGTAACTTTGTATAAAAATGTATATTATTTAACTCAATTCAACTTAAATTCAACTTAAATTCTATATTTTTTTTGTTTTTCTTTTCTTTGTGTGATTTGTATAGTGAAAAAAATCTTCTAAAATAAATGCATCAACTATTAAAATATTTACCCCATCTTGTGCATTGTAAGATTATGTCAGGTACTGTTTGTTTCTACAATCTTTTTATATTGATTCCATATAATTTAATTTAACTTTTAATGTTGGCTTCAATGAGGTTTAACATCACGCAATTTACTTGCCAAGATGTACATCCAACTTTGGCCTGCATAAACCCCATCGTGTTCTTTGTAATAATTATAACAGTCTTAGTAATCAAATATATTCAATTCTAAAAGGGCCGCGCGTAGCTAGCTCAAGCTTGGTTTCACTTATGCATCAGAATTCCACGATAATCGCAAATTAAACATAACTGATTTGTATACTTGTCTTACGTTACTCATATTTTATAATTTTTGTAAATTGGTAATTTTGGTCAGGAACAATGACGTTACTTTCGATTGACGATTGTGACATTTGGAGATTGTACTGCGAAGACTTGCCGGCACCAAGTGTGCCGCCCATCAAGCAAAAGTGTTGGCCTAGAGTCATTCAGAACTAACAAATTGTCAAATTTCCGTTCAAAATGTTTTAAATCGGATTAAAATTTAGAAATACATAAATTACAATTTACATAATTTAATGTCATAATGAAACGAAATTTTAAAAAAAGACATTTATTTAAAAAGGTTTTTCATGCACTAGCGAAAGGAATATCACCAAAGCTAAAAGCCCATATTGACTTCGAGGCACTACAATACATATATTGTTTTAAAAGAAAAGCAGTAAGCTTCAGCAAGCTTATATGCTTTTGCAGCTAATACAAATTTAAAATATTCTATAAATCGACTATATTTCGATTTTTGTGCGTACTTTTCAAAAACAATATAGCCTATTTTTCCGATGCTTTTTCTCCCGTTCCTATGTCAACTGTATGATATTTTAATTCTTAAACCATTACATTTTAAAAGCAACAAACATTTTGACTGATATATTAACTGCAATAGAAAAATGTCTTTTGGAAAAGTTTTATCCAGAAAGAGTCGGACAGACAGACGTGCAGACCTACATTGTTAGGTGATGCTGATAAAAAGTACATATTTTTACTTTATAATGTCGAAATTGTCTTTTAACTGCATTCCAAACTTTTGACTGAAACTATAATTCCTATAATTCCTGTAAGTAGCCTCAGCCATGTTAGAGCATAAATAAAATCTGAACTATGTCCAAAAAGGATGCTTAAAAATATCGCTTTTCTTTAGTTTCAGATGAACCATTTTGTGATGCTGAAGTCAAACGAATTAAGAACTATGATGATACGATATGGAATTTTTAATAAATTTAATAAATTGTATGTTTTTCTGCGTCGCAACATTCAAGTTGGTAAATAAAATTCATTCTTTATATTATTTTTTACACGCGTTTGTTTATTATTGCAAGTTGATTGTGCTTCCTTTTGCTTTGTCATAGTCATTTTAAACAAAATTTTAGTGATTGAATTACTATCTTTTCTGAAAAACTTAAATTTTTGTTTAGTCATCGGCGAGAATCGAATCCGTGCCAACGGAGCGGGAGTTTGGGCGAGGTACCTTCAAATGTCAAACTAAAATAAACATAGACATGTTTTCTTTGCCTTGTTTTTATATTTCTGCCTTGATTCTAAGAAATCGTTCATTCTTATACAAAATAAAATATAAAAAAAACACGTTTAACGCCGTGGGATTTCTACTCAAACTTCTAGATTTCTGACCAAGCGCCTAAGCCTAAAGATATCATTTCGAGCTTTGAAAATCGAAACCACAAATTGTTGGAGCCGAAGTGACCCTGATTTCAGCCAATTGATCCTAATTAGTGTCAAATTATATTTTTAAAACCACGAGTGACCCTTAAACACTCATATAGGGTCAAAAACTGATACTATGTCTATGCGAACCTCACTATCGGGACCGGCAAGGTCAGAACTAGGTTTTGACTCTTCGCCCAACCACCTTTATCGCAGACTCCACGCAAGGACTCCTTGAGCTCGATTAAACCACGACCTGGTACCCGTTGGATCTCAGCGATTTAGCTTCAGCCTTTAGCATGTCGACTTTGCGATCTTGACTCTGACACTTGATTTACTTGCTTTTGGTTTCACGTACACACACTCGCTCTGATTCTCGAACTACTACTTCGGCGTGAGCTGCGTTAGCGCCGACCTTTTATAGCCTGTGATGGTACCGTTACCCTCTAATCCGGCTCACGTGATCGGGTTCAAGGCTACCGCCGTACCGTTAGTTCACAATACGTTTTCTTTGTGCGGGTCTGAAGTCCGCCTATTTACCGTTTGATGAAGTTACCCTGACCGTGCAAAGGTCGATATAGGTCGATAGCCTTTCTTTATTTTAGTTTACGTTCAAGTCACATAATTCCACCATTATGTTGTTTTTTTTTTCTTTTTATATCACTTTAAATGTGTACCTAAAATAGTATGCTAATGGGAACGAATAGCCTACAGGAGAATTAGTTTGAGAATAACATAAGATACACCAGTCGAAATCCTGTCATATCGTCTGCGACGAATTGAAACAGCAGCCTAGTGCTATTAACAGCGTCTTCTTTAAATCGTAACGTAGTATATACACCAGTCACATTACAAGAGGTGCCGTCAAATGTCAACCTTAAACAAACATTGACATGTTTTTCTTGCTATTTTTTATATTTCTGCCTTTATTCGTTTATATACAACAACAACAGTAATAAAAAAAAACCAAAAAAAACCAAAAAAACCCGTTTACCGCCGTGGGATTTGAACTCATGCTTCCAGATTTCTGGCCAAGCTATTTGGTTGGAGGCGCGCCCGATATCAAGTATCAAGCTTCGAAAATCAAAACAACCGATTGTTGTTGTCGAAGTGATCCTGATTTCAGCCAATTAATCCTATTTGGTGTTAAATTATATTTTTAAAACCACGTAGTGACCCTGTGACACTCATGTAGGGTCAAGTTGATCCCAAAAAACTGATACTACGTGTAGTGTGAAAATGAACTACACTTATTAAATCGACACCCAGAAAATTTTTTTTTCGGTGCAGTACTTGTTTACTTATGAACGCTTAGTAACTTTGTATAAAAATGTATATTATTTAACTCAATTCAACTTAAATTCAACTTAATTTTTTGTATTTCTTTTCTTAGTGTGATTTGTATAGTGAAAAAAAATCGTCTAAAATAAATGCATCAACTATTAAAATATTTACCCCATCTTGTGCATTGTAAGATTATGTCAGGTACTGTTTGTTTCTACAACCTTTTTATATTGATTCCATATAATTTAATTTAACTTTTAATGTGGGCTTCAATGAGGATTAACATCACGCAATTTACTTGCCAAGATGTACATCCAACTTTGGCCTGCATAAGCCCCATCGTGTTCTTTGTAATAATTATAACAATATTAGTAATCAAATATATTCAATTCTAAAAGGGCCGCGCGTAGCTAGCTCAAGCTTAGTTTCACTTATGCATCAGAATTCCACGATAATCGCAAATTAAACATAACTGATTTTTATACTTGTCTTACGTTACTCATATTTTATAATTTTTGTAAATTTTTTTGGTAATTTTGGTCAGGAACAATGACGTAACTTTCGATTGACGATTGTGACATTTGGAGATTGTACTGCGAAGACTTGCCGGCACCAAGTGTGCCGCCCATCAAGCAAAAGTGTTGGCCTAGAGTCATTCAGAACTAACAGATTGTCAAATTTCCGTTCAAAATTTTTTAAATCGGATAAAAATTTAGAAATACATAAATTACAATTTACATAATTTAATGTCATAATAAACAAAATTAAAAAAAAAAAGACATTTATTTAAAAAGGTTTTTCATGCACTAGCGAAAGGAATATCACCAAAGCTAAAAGCCCATATTGACTTCGAGGCACTACAATACATATATTGTTTTAAAAGAAAAGCAGTAAGCTTCAGCAAGCTTATATGCTTTTGCAGCTAATACAAATTTAAAATATTCTATAAATCGACTATATTTCGATTTTTGTGCGTACTTTTCAAAAACAATATAGCCTATTTTTCCGATGCTTTTTTCTCCCGTTCCTATGTCAACTGTATGATATTTTAATTCTTAAACCATTACATTTTAAAATCAACAAACATTTTGACTGATATATTAACTGCAATAGAAAAATGTCTTTTGGAAAAGTTTTATCCAGAAAGAGTCGGACAGACAGACGTGCAGACCTACATTGTTAGGTGATGCTGATAAAAAGTACATATTTTTACTTTATAATGTCGAAATTGTCTTTTAACTGCATTCCAAACTTTTGACTGAAACTATAATTCCTATAATTCCTGTAAGTAGCCTCAGCCATGTTAGAGCATAAATAAAATCTGAACTATGTCCAAAAAGGATGCTTAAAAATATCGCTTTACTTTAGTTTCAGATGAACCATTTTGTGATGCTGAAGTCAAACGAATTAAGAACTATGATGATACGATATGGAATTTTTAATAAATTTAGTAAATTGTGTGTTTTTCTGCGTCGCAACATTCAAGTTGGTAAATAAAATTCATTCTTTATATTATTTTTTACACGCGTTTGTTTATTATTGCAAGTTGATTGTGCTTCCTTTTGCTTTGTCATAGTCATTTTAAACAAAATTTTAGTGATTGAATTACTATCTTTTCTGAAAAACTTAAATTTTTGTTTAGTCATCGGCGAGAATCGAATCCGTGCCAACGGAGCGGGAGTTTGGGCGAGGTACCTTCAAATGTCAAACTAAAATAAACATAGACATGTTTTCTTTGCCTTGTTTTTATATTTCTGCCTTGATTCTAAGAAATCGTTCATTCTTATACAAAATAAAATATAAAAAAACACGTTTAACGCCGTGGGATTTCTACTCAAACTTCTAGATTTCTGACCAAGCGCCTAAGCCTAAAGATATCATTTCGAGCTTTGAAAATCGAAACCACAAATTGTTGGAGCCGAAGTGACCCTGATTTCAGCCAATTGATCCTAATTAGTGTCAAATTATATTTTTAAAACCACGAGTGACCCTTAAACACTCATATAGGGTCAAAAACTGATACTATGTCTATGCGAACCTCACTATCGGGACCGGCAAGGTCAGAACTAGGTTTTGACTCTTCGCCCAACCACCTTTATCGCAGACTCCACGCAAGGACTCCTTGAGCTCGATTAAACCACGACCTGGTACCCGTTGGATCTCAGCGATTTAGCTTCAGCCTTTAGCATGTCGACTTTGCGATCTTGACTCTGACACTTGATTTACTTGCTTTTGGTTTCACGTACACACACTCGCTCTGATTCTCGAACTACTACTTCGGCGTGAGCTGCGTTAGCGCCGACCTTTTATAGCCTGTGATGGTACCGTTACCCTCTAATCCGGCTCACGTGATCGGGTTCAAGGCTACCGCCGTACCGTTAGTTCACAATACGTTTTCTTTGTGCGGGTCTGAAGTCCGCCTATTTACCGTTTGATGTAGTTGCCCTGACCGTGCAAAGGTCGATATAGGTCGATAGCCTTTCTTTATTTTAGTTTACGTTCAAGTCACATAATTCCACCATTATGTTGTTTTTTTTTCTTTTTATATCACTTTAAATGTGTACCTAAAATAGTATGCTAATGGGAACGAATAGCCTACAGGAGAATTAGTTTGAGAATAAGATAAGATACACCAGTCGAAATCCTGTCATATCGTCTGCGACGAATTGAAACAGCAGCCTAGTGCTATTAACAGCGTCTTCTTTAAATCGTAACGCAGTATATACACCAGTCACATTACAAGAGGTACCGTCAAATGTCAACCTTAAACAAACATTGACATGTTTTTCTTGCTATTTTTTATATTTCTGCCTTTATTCGTTTATATACAACAACAACAGTAATAAAAAAAAAACCAAAAAAACCAAAAAAACCCGTTTACCGCCGTGGGATTTGAACTCATGCTTCCAGATTTCTGGCCAAGCTATTTGGTTGGAGGCGCGCCCGATATCAAGTATCAAGCTTCGAAAATCAAAACAACCGATTGTTGTTGTCGAAGTGATCCTGATTTCAGCCAATTAATCCTATTTGGTGTTAAATTATATTTTTAAAACCACGTAGTGACCCTGTGACACTCATGTAGGGTCAAGTTGATCCCAAAAAACTGATCCTACGTGTAGTGTGAAAATGAACTACACTTATTAAATCGACACCCAGAAAATTTTTTTTTCGGTGCAGTACTTGTTTAATTATGTACGCTTAGTAACTTTGTATAAAAATGTATATTATTTAACTCAATTCAACTTAAATTCAACTTAAATTCTATATTTTTTTTTTGTATTTCTTTTCTTAGTGTGATTTGTATAGTGAAAAAAAATCGTCTAAAATAAATGCATCAACTATTAAAATATTTACCCCATCTTGTGCATTGTAAGATTATGTCAGGTACTGTTTGTTTCTACAACCTTTTTATATTGATTCCATATAATTTAATTTAACTTTTAATGTGGGCTTCAATGAGGATTAACATCACGCAATTTACTTGCCAAGATGTACATCCAACTTTGGCCTGCATAAGCCCCATCGTGTTCTTTGTAATAATTATAACAATATTAGTAATCAAATATATTCAATTCTAAAAGGGCCGCGCGTAGCTAGCTCAAGCTTGGTTTCACTTATGCATCAGAATTCCACGATAATCGCAAATTAAACATAACTGATTTTTATACTTGTCTTACGTTACTCATATTTTATAATTTTTGTAAATTTTTTTGGTAATTTTGGTCAGGAACAATGACGTAACTTTCGATTGACGATTGTGACATTTGGAGATTGTACTGCGAAGACTTGCCGGCACCAAGTGTGCCGCCCATCAAGCAAAAGTGTTGGCCTAGAGTCATTCAGAACTAACAGATTGTCAAATTTCCGTTCAAAATTTTTTAAATCGGATAAAAATTTAGAAATACATAAATTACAATTTACATAATTTAATGTCATAATAAACAAAATTAAAAAAAAAGACATTTATTTAAAAAGGTTTTTCATGCACTAGCGAAAGGATTATCCCCAAAGCTATAAGCCCATATTGACTTCGAGGCACTACAATACATATATTGTTTTAAAAGAAAAGCAGTAAGCTTCAGCAAGCTTATATGCTTTTGCAGCTAATACAAATTTAAAATATTCTATAAATCGACTATTGTTCAGACGAACACTGATAAATATTATGTCTAAGATTTAATGAGCTCTGCACATATCATGTAGAAGAACTGTGTAATTCGATCAAGAGCCATAATTTACGATCTCGGACCCGAAAAGGGTTCAGTTTTTCAAATGCACTTGTAATCTGTAACAGCAGCCACTTGAGCTATCTAATACCGAGAGTTCTTGTGCGGGGGGCAAAATAAATAACTCCCCCGCCCAGATAAAAGATAAGGTCTCTGCGTAGACCATAGCTAAGATTAGAATAAGATTTTCACATAAGTTTCTTGTCAAGAAGTTTTAAATAAAATGAAACAGTTTCAATACAGAACTCAAACAAAAAGGTTGTATTATAATAAATTGTCATCGAACAATTTTATTTTTTTTTGAAGCGTTTTCGTGGCCTTACAACAACAAAAAAAAAGTGATTAATTAAAATCAGGCGTATTCGAGGCCACACATCGAAAAAGTGCAAAAAAAAAAGTATATATATATATATATATATATATGTTTAAACTATCAGTGACAAAAAACAAATAAAAAAAAAAAACCCAATATTAACTGTTCAAAAATAAATAAAAAAACTTAAATCATCTTTAAAAACAACAACGAAGACCCTCAAAGAGACGACATCTGAAGGAAGGCTAGCAGGATCAACAACAGGAGCGGCAACAGAGACAAGGACAACGGCAGCAGCAGCAACAACGACCATCAGCAACAACAGCCGCAACAACAAGCGCATCAGCAACAACAGCATCAGCTAAAACAACTACAACGGCGACAACGGCAGTGACGACAACAAAGACACCAGCTAAGTTAATCTTAAAATTTAATAAGTTACGAGCATTTTATTATTAAGAAAAGATAAATCCTTTCAGACGCTCTTGAGGTTTAGCAAAACTAACGAACAGCAATTTATTTTTATATATATACATATACAAAACTAAAGCCAAAACCATGTTGTCCGCTGAAACTATTGCCTTAATAAAAAGGCAAGTAGAAATTACAAAACTAATTCATACCCTTAAAGAGCTACCTAGTCTATCATTTGAATATTTGAAACAGCATGAGGAATTAAGGTCCGAATGTGTTCAAAATCATTCGGTTTTGGTTCAAATTGGAGTAGTCGATCATGACTACTTCAAGAAGAACCATTATGAGAAAATGATGTTAGATCTCCCAAATATAAAAGATAGGATAAATAGGGTTTTAAACAAAGCTGACGAAGTTCACTTGGAGGCCAGTAGTTCTAAAGTTGTCAATAAATAAGATAGGGCAATAGTACAGGTACGGGAATACTTAAAAGAAACTTTTTAAGACATTAAGCTAAACAATGTTTCAACTTTTGAGATTAGAGTCCAGAAATTAGAATTTTATTGGACAAAAATAGTAGGTCTTGAACAAGTCGACCAAGTAGATGTCACTGATAGGGGTTATGACGAGGAGTTGAACGAGTTAGAGTTCGACATCTCGTCAATAACCAACACAATGAAAAAAAAATCGAACAAATTGTGCCCGGAAAGGTTAACGTTGGAAATCATAAAATTGATGATTTGCCAACGTTACCTAAAATTCAGGTACCCTCGTTCTATGGAGATTCCAAAGACTGGGACCTGTTTTATGAGTTGTTTAATGAACTCATTCATTTAACAGAGGATCTAAGTTAAATCCATGAAATACCATCTGAAACGGGTAATCGGGGAAAATAGTCTGACATACGAAGAAATGTCAACACTTTTATGTCAGATAGAAGCATGCTTAAATTCAAGACCATTGTATACCTATGAAAATAAAATTGATCAAGATGAAGTCCTAACACCAGAACATTTCTTGATTGGTAGACCACCGCTAGAAATAGTTGAACCAATTGAAAATGAGAGAATTGGGAATTTAGACACGTGGAAACTAATCCAGAAAATTAAAAGAGATTTCTGGGTTAAGTGGAAAGAGGAGTATTTACATACTCTGCACAAGTGGAAGATGGCCAATAGGCAAAGTAGAAAGGATCCACAAGGGCAAAGATGAAAAGGTCAGAGTGGTAGAAATAAAAATATAAGATGGATTTAAAGTGGATCTAGATCACTAAAATTTGTCCTTTTGAAGGAATTAAGTCTGTGGACAAAGTTGAATCTGACCCTGAAGAAACAAAACCTAAAAGTCGAACAAGAGGTACATCAACAATATCGAAACTTTCTTTTATAATGGCTTTGTTATTATGTATATTGTGTCAATTCTCTTACGCTTCAGCTAAAGTTGATCAGCCAAAATATACAATTGAGAAAATAAACAAAACTTCGGCTATATATCTAGATCCAATGGGTGACGTAGAGATTGTAGCCTCCTCTTGGA